ATCAGTGTTTGGTTGTGGGCCGCTGCGTCGATCAAAGGGGAGGGGAGGGATCACCCACCCGTCATCTGCTGCTCCCCCTCTCCCTGCTTCTTTTGCGCCGGTACAGAAGATGTCATTTCATTTGGTCCGTACTCTGTCTCAGAAGTTCTTTTTTGATTTCCTCTGCTGATGTCTACATACAGACACATTGATTTTGTACATATCCATCTATGACAGAACTGCAATTAATGATGTCTTGAGCAGTCACAGAGCCATGGATCTACAATGCATTTACAAAGTTATCAATGCTTTCTCTATGCTCCCTTGTTAGCAAAATCATAAACAAAGGAAGTCCAAAGTAGCCTTACAAAATATTTTTTTGATGTTAATATAAATCATACAGGTCAACAAGAATGTATTTTAATTTAGTCAATTTCTTGACTATAACTGTGGCAAGTGTTAACACAATTATTGGATGTTTTTTGTGAGTTACATGGAGTCATATGGGGACATCAGAAACTTGAAGTTAAAGGTAAAATAGTGTCTTGTACTGTTGGATAAAAGAACACGATTCTTTTCAAGTCCTTAAACTTAACAATCTATCAAGGAAAACCTTTGTACAAACACTGCGGTGCATATTAGGACTGCATGATATATCGTCAGGATAGCAACATGTGTGATATATTGCAAAAGACTGCTTGAACTGCAATAAATGGTGTTCCATGTGCCATGCATTTATGCTCTGCATGTCAATATATTTGGCCAATCAGATGGAGCCCTGCTGCCCTAGATAAAACACATCAAAGATATTCAGATCTTTGACAGGTTTTTCCGTCTATTAATCAATGTCGGAAGAAGAGAAAAGAGAGCGAACAGAGAATTGCGAGGTGGCTCCGTCATATCTCTTGCAGCCCAATCCCCACTATATTCTACTCTGGAAACTTCTAGTGATCACGTTTGACCCGGGTCAAATTCATCACTATGAGCGGTTGAGTATATAAAGGAATTGTGTAGCTCATTTATGATAGTCCCAGAACCTGAAGGGAAAGTGACGCACACACACTGATTCCACCTCTTTCTCTCTCTTGGACTCAGCTGACACCTCTGACCCGCTACAGTTTATATGTTGATTTAATATCAACACATAATGATCGATACTTTTCTTTAATTAGTTAAATCTTGATTCAGAGCAGCACATTCATCAGCTGTCCCGCTTGTTTTTTCCCCCTCTCTCTCTCAAACACGGACAAACACATACTCACACGTGTAAACTCAGACTGGGTAAAAACAACAGAATTTGTAAACTTAGACAACATATGGAGAGTTGGAGGAGATGGCGGTGCGCTCGGTTTGGCTTGATTCGGTTGGCGCAGTGCGCAGCGCGAATGATAGAGACACAGAGAGGAGCAGTAAATTACTGACAGAGCTGCTAAAAACTGTAAATGGTCCAAACATATATGAAAAGACCCCTAATGATTTCTATAAGTGGACCTAGTGGAGCTGTGCATGGCTGAATGGGTGTCTGCCCTGGACCTGGTGGCGTTGTGGGTGTGCTGTGGGTGCCCTCTCCCTCTGGATGTGGTACTGTAAGTGGCCCAGGCGTCAATAGCCGGGAGAATTTTTTCAATAAAATCATTTTGGATGGAATGGAAATAATGCTTTTAATTTTTGTAATAATATCGTGCAGCCCTAGTGCATATATAATCTGTTTGATCACACCACCTAAACCGTAGACGTATATTATAGTAATCTAACTTCAGAATGTTAAATGTTAGATCCAGTTGTTCAACCTTTTGCGATTTTAATGTCAGCTGTCAATGAGCTTCCAAAATCAGTGGCACTGATGCACATGTTAAGCTTTGCTATAGTCTTGTACTAAAGAAAATCTGTGTTTTATCTGTTGAACATGCTTTTTGTAAGACAAGAAAGTTGCTCAGTAGCAGCAGCACTACAAGAATATAAGCCTTCTCTTCTGTTATGTGTTGGCCATTAAAAAAGCTCAATAGTTCCTTGCTTCATGCTCAGCTCCTCAACACAGTGATCCTGTGGAAGACAGGCCTGTTTGTATAACTCTTGACTTTGCTTAGAAAGTGCAGGGTCTTAGCAGAGTTGCCACGTTGAAATATTTGTTATTGTTATTTGTGCGTGTTTGCTTGTGTTGTGTGGACAATAATGTGCGTCTGCAGCTCAGATACATCTCCTGTTGTTGCTCCCAGTGTCCTAAGCCTTTTCTGCTCCACTGCCAATAGATGTGCATGTGTTAAAGATGGCCTCTGTTTTGTGGTTAGCCTGCCTCATCTTGAGGCGCTCTCCTGGGGCAAGGGTTCACCCCCGCCTTCCCGCTCTCTCTCTGACTCTTTGGTGGGGTCATTTGGAGAGGTAATCCACACATGGCTGGATACTCTGAAGCTCCAAGCAGAAAGATGGGGCTCCAACATGGTACAGATAGATAGGATTTGGATCATGGTGAATGGCAATAGGCTCATTTGACACACCTTTTTTAACCAGTTATTGTAAACTTGAGTTGGACTTGTACACACTCCTGAATCAGGACTGCTACCCAACAAACCCAGCCCTCAGATGGCAACATGCACAGCTGGGTGAGCTGCTTTAATCCTGCAGTTTTTCTTTTTTGGTCAATGTCAGCCAGAGGTCAACCTGGTTATAGAATGATTGCCTCACCGTGGCTGCAGCCGTCGTTATTTATTTCATTTCACTCCCCAAGCCCTGGAGATTGAGTTGAAGTACAGAGCCTGTATTTAGACTTTATTTAAGAAGATTGGTTGTGGCCACCGACAGACTGCTCCAGTCAGCCCTGTGTTCACCGATGGCCAGCCAGATCAATACAACACAATTGAGTTTTCCAATCTGTGGTCTTTGGGAATGCAGCCACAGCACTTACAGGGTGATCGCTTGTGATGAAGTCTTCATCAGGATCTATTGACAGATTCATTTGAGCACTCTAATTCCACCCTTACTACATGTTTTTTTCACACTGTAAAGTAATGGGACACTAAAACCCTATTTAAAAAGTTTTCTGGCAGTTGATGGACAGATCGAGACAGCAGAGCTGTTTCACTCTCTGAAGTTAATGCTGATTCTTATTTTTATTTTGGTTAAATCCTAAGTTTAGACTGGTGTCATCCATCACCATAAACTGCTCCACAATTACCGATGTAAATATTATTAAAATATTACAGCACATGATCAAATATTCCAACAAGCAGCAAGCAAGACATGCTTTGCTTTTGAAAGCGAGGCCTAGAAGTGACCTGGCGGCCGATGAAGGGACTGTGAAAATTGCCAAATTGTTTCATATTTGATTTCTAAACAAGCCGCAGGGATATTGGATATCACACAGTAATCACATGTGCACCTTGGAAACTGGTTAGACACTCTCCTCTGCTTTTGATGTCCAAGTTGTTTTTTCTTGTCTGGAGTGGAGTTGGTCTTAAGAAAGCCATAATCCTCATGGTATTGCTGCGGCGAGCGCTCCTCTGGCACAACATTTCCCAGCGTCGTGCGTGACTCCACTAATTTTCCCCATTGTTGTTTTACCTGTTTTGTATTTTTGCTTCCCCTTCTTGACCCCGTTTTTTTCTCTGAATTCTCGAGAGAAAGCGAGACCAGTGAAGTCAGGGTGGATTGGCCAAAGGTGGTTCTCAGAGTGGAATGCCTAGCGAAGCGCCTTTCTCTGTGAACTGATAACTCCAGCTGGGTTTAATAAACTTTAGGATTCAATAGGTAGGGCTAAGCTCATGATTATGGTTTGCTTCTGATAGCTGATATTTTACTTTGGTCTGTTATATAATGGCTCATTATTTAAAGTGTGATTAAAATAAAGAAGTGTATTATTATTTATGTACAGTTTTTAAAGGACTGTTTCTACCACTTCTATTAGAGAGGTGTATAAGTTGTTCTTGATATGAGAGGCTCCTTTTTACCTTAAACTAGCAGTGTAATGATTCCGAAATTTAGACCAAGATACAAAACATCCACAAGCTGGTATCATGACACAGAATGACAGAATTGCAATACCTCAACTCCAAGCAACTGCCAAAGCTGAAGGTGTAGTCTGTTGAAGTCTCATGTAATCTAAGATAGGGCGGGATGTACATTTATAAATATTACACATTACACCTATTTTTTTCTTTGAAATGCATGTGTCACATTTTGGTACAATCATGATGAGTGATCAGGTCTACAATAACCATGTAATTGCAGATCCCCCATCCCAGGTACCACAAATTATTAATCAAACTGTGGCTGAAAACTAAAGTCTGAACCGAAGCTGAGCCAGATCTGGAGAATGATTCCATCCCTACACAAAACCATTTTTATGATGCAGTCAAAAGCAGTTCAAATTTCTCAAATTACTTCTTACAGTCTACATCCATGCCTGCTGCTCTGTGTCAATCAGCATGCTAACATGCTCGCAATGACTATCTTAGCATGCTTTTGAGCAGGTAGAGCATTAGGGTCTCATGATAAAGGTACAGGTCACCATATTAATTTAGTGTGTGAGCATGGCAACATGCATTTCCTCTGCCAGCACTACTAGGTCTAGGTAGGTATCACATAACTTTTGACCTGAATGGCAAACTGTAGTGTAAGGCGCTTTGAGTGGTCATCAAGACTTGACAAGCGCTATATAAATACAAACCATTTAACATTTACCACAGTCTGGTTCTGTTCGAGGTTCTTGCAGTTATTGAGGACGTTTTTACTCTTCAAAATCGCCAAAGTGCTGCTCATTGTGGGGACTGTTGGGTTTCTCTATAATTTGTAAGGTCTTGACCTTTTATGTAAAGTGCTCTGAGATAATGAATATTATGATTTGGCGCTATACCAATAAAATTGAATTGAATAAAGATGGCAATTTATTAATAACTCTTGAGATTCTGAACCTAACAGTCAGGCCCAGGATGACCAAAGTCAGTGGGTTATCTAACTGATAAGATATAATTCTACAATTGCTTGTGTTTGCATGACTGACTCTTTTGTGTATCTTTCCCCTGCAGAGCTGTGTGATATTGAACCCAACATTTTCCTGAGGCCTTTCCTGGAAGTCGTCCGCTCTGAGGACACCACAGGACCAATCACAGGCCTTGCCCTTACCTCTGTCAACAAGTTCCTTTCCTATGGCCTCATCGGTAAGAGATCTCAATATTAGCATTGTCTATTGATTTTTATTGGGTATATTTTTTCCTTGGAATTACCCACATGTACTGTATATTTTCAAAAGCATTATTATCTTTGTACATGTGTACATACATTTGTGATACACAAGGAGGCCTAATAATTGTAAGTCCATTGTCAGGTGATGTTACTACATCTCAGTGTACTATACTGTTGCAACTACCCCATTATTCTTCAAATATCTTCTTTTCTTAACCACTGCATGAACCAGTGTTGGACTGGCAGTTATGTCGACTACTCTGAACAGTTGCTGCTTACTCAGCAGCTGTTATTCTTTTTGTAGCACTTTGACTTTTTACTTTGAGCGAGATCAGACTTAACTTTTTTTGTTTTGACAGGGGCCATCTTTGACAAGTTTGAAGTGTTTGTGTATAAACTAATAGATCCACTTTGCACCTGTTTATCTGGATTTATACCGAGGATGTATCAGCTAAGCCCTTTTAAAAGTTTGGAGTTTTCCACTGGGAAGCTACAGTTTGGCCTATTCTTCTGCTCATTCAATGTTGGGTTAGTCCAGGAATGCCAGGAATAGGAATGGTCTATTCTCATCATCAGTGCAGAGAAGTTATGCTGGCATATGGTCAGGACTGCCTGTCCTCATTAGCCTCATCATGGAAATATGGCCCAGTGTCTGCCAGTTGTTTTGTTAAGTGTGAAATAAGCATGCATCACCAGATGTTAGTCTAAATAGCAGGGGTTGAGTCAATGTTACAGTGGTGTCAAAACAGCTGCAACCATTGCTGAACTAAATAGGAACCTAAAATTGCAGGGATCTTGTACAGTGCTGCTGGAAATATACCTTCCATATCTGGGTCTTTTATTTGTACTAGTGTTAAACCAGATAAAATACCATGCACGTGTATGTGAGAGGTTTCTACAAAAGATGTGGACTGAGGATGTTGTGGATGTTCATTCAAACTGAAGAGCAGGACTTGATGCTTTCCAGACTGACACTGAAGCTCCTCGCAGTACAAGCTAAGAGGCCCAGGCTCACACATGTACACACAATATGTGTTCAAAGATCACCTCACAAATCGCCATTTGAGTCCCAGAGCCCCTGTCAGTCCAGACCTGACACCAGACCCCCTTTATCCCCACCACCACCATCCTGACGCCATTACACCACCACCAGCACTCATCTGCACTGCTCTAAGGGATGCACAACTGTAGCACTCTAACACTCACAATACTCCCACTCTCCAATGGCAGTGAATTTAAGAAAGTATCACGGTGGTTCAACAACTCGAGTAAAGCTACTGCATCTCAGTTTGACCGTTGCTCCTCAAACAGATCAGTCTCCAGCAGCCTGTTAACACACTTACCACTTCTCATGTTTTACTTAGCCATGTATCCATTTTTTCCTGGTGTTGGGGTGGAGCTATGAGCAAACTATATTGAATGTGAGCTCAAAGAGAATTAAATGCTAATCTGAAGAATGTGTCAGAAGCTCCCACAGGAAGCTAAATGCCTATTTTCTTACGGAAATGACTGTGAAATTTTGGATTAGGTGAGACTAGTGTCCACTTTTTGTTTCTGACTTAAGTGACCACAGTAATTTTACATTTTGTTCTTGCAGAATGTCAAACCATTCAGGATTTTTCTGTGCAAGTATTGATATTGTTTGACAGTGGCATTGCTCATATAAATATATGGTTTTTCACTCCATAAATCTAGGTTAGATAGGTCAGTAGATAGAAAGAATAGAATAGATGTGATTAATAGATAGGGTATGTTGGTAGATGGATGGGATCCTAATGGAAAATTTGATAGGTATGTCATTTGCAGGAATTCTTATAATTGTTGTTCAAGGCTTAACATATGAATATATATATATATATATATATATATATATATATATTGCTTTTAGGATAGTTGAGTTGAAGCACAGCACTGATGTTGTCAAGTACTGCCATCTCCTGGCTAAAGAAAATTCAATAACCTAACAATACCTAAGCCCTTTTATGGCCTGGTCCTCTGGATTTAGATGTTTTTTAAATTATTTTATTCAGCATTAGGTTTGTGTGTAATCTTTTCAAATCAGTTTGTTTTATTTACCGGCAATAAGACGTACTCTGTTTGATGTGCTTCTCTCAGTGGACATGACTGCATGGATCGTGATGCTCGCTAAATGATTCATGTAACCAGTTTATGTCTTGTGATCTTTCAGCAAATGGTGGAGCGTGTTGACACCTAGGTTCAGTTTAAGTTTACACACATTGTGATATCATCCCTCTCTATAAGTATTGAATGAGGAAACAGCCTGCAGCAGGCAGTTGTGTCCCTCTGTATCCTGGGTGCTGTGTTAAATATGATCCTCCCCTTCAAGGTGTCACCCTGAACATTGTCCCCCTTGTCCTGCCAACATGTCCAATGCAACCACTTTACCACCCTCTTCTGTTTTTTGGCTTGTCTACAGCCCAAAAGAAAGGAAAAGGTCTCCCCCCCACACACACAGTTATTTCACTCACTCATTTCTATTAGTGTGAGATAATTCCTCTCAATCTGTGGCCTGAGGTCTACTGGCATGGAAGGAGCGACAAACTAAGCCTTAGTGCTGACAGACATCCACATCTCTGCTCTATCCTCTACTTCCCCACAGCTCATCTCTCCTCCCCCGTTCCTCCTTCATTTTCCCTCTGTTTCTGCTGCCCAGCACAGTCAGCAAAGCCCCTCACTGCGCTGCTAGCAGCCACATGGGTCACTAGCCCACCTATGGCTCAGAGCGAGGCTCAGCAGAGGCTTAAGCTGCAGCCACTGCCAGAAGAGATGAGCTTAGAGTGCAGCTGTAGCCTGCCTGTGACTCTAAGGTTGAATAAATTGTCATTAAATGAAATAGCCGTTATAATAAAATACCAAAGAACATAATTAGCATCAGCAGCAAAAATGTTTAACAAGGAAAAGAGCAATACCTCCTACACAACCTCCACAGACAAAAAGTCCAAACACAGTTTTTCAAGAACAAAGCAACACCAAACGGTTAAAGAAAATGCATAACAAGCAATTGATTTTGAGGCAAAGGGCTGGGGTGGCAGTGGTTAACCTCACAACAAGGAGGAACCGAGTTAGAAGCTGCTGGCTGGCTGTGGTATCTCCGCATCTTTTCCTTTTGCCTGCATAGGTTTTCTTCCTCAGTCCAAAGACAAGCAGGTTAGGTTTATTGGTGTCACTTTTGATGTGAGTGTGAATGGGCATCGTTTTCACACACGACAGGAGAATTGAGTCCAGACTTTACCTAGACATTGCTTTTCACACATGCACAACGCAGCAGGAGGTTCTCTGCACAGATTTGTTTTGCAACAGTAACAAATCCTCTGCAGGATTCAGGCAAAAGGTGGAGCAGCCTGGGGCAGCAGGCGGAGTAAGTAACATATTAATTCCGCTGCGGCGGTCACATGATCATGTTTACAGCACCCCTATTCCGCCGTCTGCTCTTATTGGCACAAACTCTCTTGACATCTTAGTCGATGTCTTCTATTTTTTGTATGACACCGCTTTTTCACTAGTATGTTTTTGATTTTCTTTTGTATCCGTCACGTGTTCGAAGCCTCATCAACCCCCTGCTCATGGTGAATGCAATGGGGGATCCCTTGCTGTGTTCACACATCGGATTCTCCCAACTTTCTATAGACTTTATACAAGAGGGCCAGGAGGAGAAAGTCTGCAGAAACTGCATTTGTGTTCCGGAGAAAAAGGAGGATCTGCGGAGTTCATTAAATGTCTGAAAGCAGCTTATGTGTGTCAGCCCTGTGATAGAATGGCGACCTTTCCAGGTTGTACTCATGCAGTGTCAGCTGGGATTGGCTCCAGCTCCTGCATGACCCTCAAGGATAAGTGGTATAGCAAATAAATGGATTGAATAATGCACTGACAAAACTGTTCAAGCATTTTGGTGTAAGGCTTTCAGTGATAACAATGACAGCAGCATACTCTCTTTTAAAGAAACTTTTTTTTAATACAAATTCCAAATAACAGTTCAAAAAAAAGATATTGCTATGAAAGTAAAATGGTATATAAAGGAACAAAGAAAAAGTTGAAAAATGAAAGAAGAGCAAAATAGTCTTTATTTGAATTCCATAAGGTTTACAAGTAAAATACATTTTACAGGTAAGAGGGAGGGAGCAGTGCTCTGCCTTTGTAAATGCTGGTATAATATCTTTTGTGGCTCTGGAGGAGCTCTCTTAAGTATGAGAAAGTAATCCAATGTTGTCATCAGGGTCATATTGGCCTTTATTTAATCTCCCCCTTGTGGCCCCCTTAGCTTAATGGAAATACTACACTTAACAGAGAGTACCTCTTTAATTAAGATATAGTTAAATAATAATAAGAATAGGATTGTAATCAAAGTTCTTCATTGATAATTCTCCCAGGGAAATGAGTTGCCCAAAACCAAACACTCATGTCATCTTGCGTCACCACAGCAAATGATCTTTGGAAAAAAATGTTGAAAAGACGGCAACCCTAGTCAAGAAAATCCAAACTTTAAAGTGTATGCATACCGTGTATTAACCACCGCACACCGTTACTGTGGAGCTAAAACTGGGAGCAGAGCAGCCTGCCTGAAAGATGATCTTGTGCTATTCACAAGATGAACAGGTGAACAAACTAATTTTCTTCTCTGGCCATGGAAAATGCAGCAGTCCCTTTGTTTGATTTCTAAAGATGTATTGGCCCTTATGTAGTGTGCAGCTTGAGAGCTTTTTGTGTGTTGCTCTCTTAAAAACCAGCCACTCTGCTCTTTCTCTTCGCTCTCAATCACACCATGTCTTTGATTTTTGTGACCAGAGTTTGATATACTTAAACTTCTTTATGTGGCAGCTGGTTCAACCCCCTATTGACTTTGCCCACATACCCTCAGGCACGTACACACATGTTGAGCCTCTCTTCTGCGTTATTTTAACAAGCCGTGGCCCCCTCCACCCAACCCCTCCTTTGGACACTGCTTGTGTAGACTTTGTGCCAAGAGAAGGATTAGTGTTTTATATCACTTATGACATTCTGCCGGGTCCCCCCATGGCTCCAGTTTCTGTGTCTGGCCATCGGATGTTTTCAGCACAACTTCCACGCTTGTTGTCGCCTTTGCCTCTAGAGGGATGCTGGCATTACTGTGTCTCAACAGCCTTAACCAAGTATACACCAGTTCTCAGCCATTGACCTACTTCTTCCTGATATACTTTGAACTCCAGTTCTTCACAATGAGTAAAATCTCTCTACAGTTTCTAGGTTTCCTCAAGTATCTTTACATTTTTTAAGTCAACTCCAAGCGAACGCTGAAACAGAAAGCTGCAGTGTCACATTAAGCCTTTAGCTGCCTCTTTTTTGCACACATCAGTGTCTTCATGTTGACAGGCTGTATTGCTGTTTTACTTGGAAAATCTTCATCTGCACCTCCTTCTCCCTCCATTCTTCCTCTCCCCTCTCTTCCCCCCTCTGCTTATTAGTTAATGGATTACTGCTCCTGGGGGCGATGGGAAAGTAAAACAGGCTGGCTCCAGGCAGATAGCTGGCCAGCCGCTCAGGTTTCAAAAACACTGGCTCCTGTTGCTCTGACAGCCAGTTTGTCCCAGCCGGCCTCTAACAAAAGACCACATTTGGTCATTAGACCCCAGGCTTTGAGAAGACAATGTGGATGGACCACACGAGGCTTGTCTAGTTGTGTTTATGTGTTGAGCTGTTGGAGCTGTTCATGCTTGCATAGTTTACCAACAATCCCCACAATCAGATGTTATACCTCACTCAGCCTACAGCACACACCATATCTAACACAGAATTGTGTTGAGTGCTAATTTCTGTTTGAGTGTGTTTCCACCACATGCAGCACAGGTAGAGCTAGTTAAACGCTGCTCTACATTTTTTCTGACACTGGATGTTGGAAATAAGTAGTCTGTCAATACTTGAGGGCGTCCTGTTCCACTGGGAGTCCACACTATAGTGTCACCACCCTGCCCTGAACCCAGAGTCGTCTCTGAACAGATGAAGTCTACATGGCAGCTGCAGATATTAACAGGCTGCTACAGTTGTTAATAGAGCTTTTAATGTAGTGTTACTATAGAATTGTCTGTTGTACTGTGATTCCTTCATGGAGAGGTCACGTGATGCAGTATTTACACATTCCTGTGTAGGCAACAAGTAGATGCGTGCCACTCAGTTTTTCTTAATGCCTAAGATAATTTCTCTTTATATATAGATTTAACAGCCACTTTAAGAGGCACAATTGGGAAATGTAATTTGTATGGTCAGCAAATATAAAAAAATTTACAATCCCTAAACCAGTTTCCAGGTGATGTCTTCACAAGATCTTGTTTTGTTAAACCAGTTGTCCAAAACCAAGAGGTATTTGGTTCATCACAGAAGAAATCATTCAAATTTGGGTATAGCTGGAATCAATTACCAAAATAGTCCTCCTACACCATCCCCACGGCATGTTAGGTGTAATCTCAGCAAAAACATTCAATTTAAACAGCTGTGACATGTGTCACCTCAACCTGAACATTATAAGCTTTTTGAAGATAGAGCTGTTGTATTTGATTGCATCAAAGCGGGTGTACTTGTAAATGTGACCACTTCATGTATTCCACATATAAGAACAGTGAAGTAAAGGGAAATAATCAATATGATTAGACTCATTTATCAAAACTGCTCTTGTATGGGTCAGAGTTTGAATTTTGGGGTCAGAATTCTGATTTATGTTTCTTTATGTTTCTTGTTTACTCACAGATGCGAACCATGAAGCAGCAGCAGAGGCCATTGAAAACATGGCAGACGCCGTCACACATGCTAGATTTGTGGGAACAGACCCTGCCAGTGATGAAGTCGTCCTCATGAAAATTCTACAGGTACATAACAACTTGTTTTATGGCTGTTATTACTGTAATCATGCTCAGACCTGTACTGTACTAATGAATCCAGTACAGTAGTGTCTAATAAATAAGACCTTTATGAAATTCATAATTGAAGTTCTGTTGAGACTGTGTTTATTAAGTTTATGAAAATATAATTAATATTAATATTAACAAGTAGAAATGGCTAATACATAGTTTTTTTAGAATGTATTTATTAACAAGTTTGTCATCTAGGAAAATGCACAGTGTTTTCCACAAGTAAAGAAATGACTTGCTTGCAGCATGTGACGATGTGCATGCAGATTCCTGTAGTTATGAGGTGTAACCCAGTTTATTCTTAAACACGTTACATGCAGACTGTTGTTAGACACTGAAATTAACCAATCTATAAATTCCTCATGTTCAGGGTATCAGCAGACACTAGAATTTACAGATGTTCACCTACATGCAGACTACCTGGAGACTGTAGCTCTGCAGTGATGCATAGCCTCTAGTCCTCTCTCAGTTAATGCAGTGCACACATCACAGGCATGTGGCAAAAAAAATGTGTTAGTTTGTATGAGTGAAAATAAGTTATTTTGAAGAGTAAAATAAAGCATTTTAATCTAAGATGTGCTTAGATTGAAACAGAGAGATTTCATCAACTTGGTTAGTGCATCACCTGCAGATTTTTGTACATTTGTATTGTGCTGTTTAAGGTCCTGAGGACTCTGCTGCTGACGCCGGTGGGAGCCCACCTGACCAATGAGTCTGTTTGTGAGATCATGCAGTCCTGCTTTAGGATTTGCTTTGAGATGCGCCTTAGTGGTGAGTAACATCCAACACATTCATGAACCTCTAATTCAAACAGCATATGTTTCACTTAACTTACAGTCACATCAACTCTGCAAACAATGCAAATTGTCTGTGCCTACACATCATCTATTTTGCCATCCTGTAATGTATTGGTTTCCAGTCGGGGGGTCAGAATAGGCTAATATATGTTGAAAACTAAATCTGATGGTTCATAAGATGATTAATGGGATTGTTCTTTCAGACTTTTCAACAATAATTTGTGATTTATTATTTACTGTTTGACATTTAGTTTTCTTCTAAATGTCTCTGTCTTGTGGTCTCTCACTCTTAGCTCGACTGTTTCTTGCTTCTTGATTTTATTCTGCCTGGTTTTCATGCCTGTGTCTCCCCTTTGTTTGCAGACCTTCTCAGGAAATCAGCTGAACATACACTGGTTGACATGGTGCAGCTACTTTTCTCCAGGTAAACAAGTAGCATGGTGGTGGATAGAGAATGTGGGTAGATGTGTTAAAGTAGACATTGTTATTCGGTTCCACTTTAATGTGTTCGCTGCTGAATGGTTTAAAGCCAAGTTTATTTAGGGACTGGTTTGTTAGCTGAACTATCTAAGCTAATCATTAAAGCTGCAAGCAGCGATGATCAGGCTTTCACACCCCTGCGTGCATCAGAGTGCGCAACAGCAGATAGGACGGACATGTGAAAGTATACAACATGTAATGTCCTGTATCCAGTAGGTGGCAAACATGACGATAACACAATATCATCATTTAGATGGCTTCAAGCTGGAAATCTTATTTCACATAATCATTGAGGCAGATCCGACCACTCTGTATTCTGCAGACTCAAAATAATACAACTTACCATTTAATGGCCAAGTATCAACATTTGAGGCCTTGCCAAGGATATAAAAACAATCTTCATAAAAAACGCAATCATTTAGCTTTTAATTGTGGAGGTCTCTACATTATGCACACCGATTCAGTCAGAGCAATTTCATTCTCCAAGTCTAAAGATATCTCACCCAAGAAGGAGAGCGGGCTGGACTGATGCTGCTCTCTTCTATCACGTCTGCATCACAGATTGGAGGTTTCCTGCATATATTTCTCTCTTAGGCCTCATTATTCCCCTTAAAGCTCATGAATTTCATTTTGCTCTGTGCTTAAGGTCAATGGACCACAGATTCACTAATGTCATAACATGATTTCTCCTTTGGCATTTAGCAGAAGAGCCCGACACACGCACATGCACAGGCATGCACGCGCATACACACACATAAACACGCATACACATGCATAAACACGCATAAACACGCATACACACGCATACACACACACGTACATACACTATCCCCACAAACCCCATTCAGATGCATCAGAGTGCCAGTCACATTCGGTCACAGACAAAGGGATGAGCCAAGAGAGCTGCACACCGTATGATCTGCATATAGATGAAGCTGGTCTCTGCTTCAACAGCAAAGCTCCCAGCCCCATAAATACTAAGAAGCATATCTATGCACACACGCGCACACACACACACACACACACGCGCATTCCGAACTAGCATTGCCAACAATGCCAGACAGAAGCAATCAGGAAAATAAGCTACAAAAAAAAGCGTGTCTGCTCATCTGAATATGAAGGAGCAGACCTGGCGAACAAACAAAGCTCAAAATAAAGTTATGGTGTGATTCACCTCCTCTCTAATGCCGTGTGTGTCACCACAAAGACAATTTGACACAGGATTTGTCACAAAGTGATGCGTTAACTTCACTGCAGCTGATGTCCAGTGTTGGTTTTTACCAAGCTTGTTACCAGTCACTGACGCTGCCTCCAAGTCCTCTTGGCCTGTTTTTATTTATTGGTAAGACTCTTGTATGGCACCTTGTTATCATGTACTCTCATACAATTTTACTGTGCAAGCATAAAAAGAGAAAAGCCCAACAGCCAAACTCATAAACAGAGACATCCCTGCATGTGAAAAGCAAACATACATATAAATGTATTGTCACCTTTTTATTTCATCCTTCTGATACTGCTCTCTCACTCACACACACACACACACACACAC